GTGACAGCATTAATTAAAGTTTCTTAAGGGTCAAGATCAAGTTATCTGCATCTCCAGCGCTCCATCAAGCCACTCCTATAATAGATGTCACCACTCAAATTAATGCTCGACTCAGATTAACTGTACAGCATGTGTGTAAGACTCTAATACAATTATAAAATAATTATTTTATCACAAGTACATTTTTCAAATGAGTAAAACTGGCTGCATCTATACAGTATTATAGATTACACAACAATGTTATTTTCAAATTATTATTATTTTAAATTATTGTCCCCGGATTAGTAGGCTACTCTTGTAATAGTAGCAGTGGCTGGGACAGATTTTAAGTATCAATTCCACTTAAAAAGATGCAATATAATCCTGTTTACATGAAATAAGCCTGCTCCCGAGCAGGTTTAAGTTTATGGACCTGTTGCTATGACAGCAACTCCAGGATGAGCTTCAAAGAACCAAATAATCCAAGATCATGCCAAATCGTCAACAATCAAATCCAGCTAACTGAGTTAACGACGTACGAAGAACAGACCCCAGATCTAATGGCGCTTTTCCACTGCGTGGTACCAGTGTTGCCAACTAATTTTCAGGGGAAGTTGCTAAAGGAAGGTTGATTTGTTGCTAAATGACACGATGTCATTGCGCGGTGACATCATTGCGTAATCACATTGCAAAATTGTGTCACTGCATCAAATCTCAGCAAAAAATTTTTTTTAAATGTTAATTTAGATGCGTTTATAAAATATAAATGCATAATAATATTAAAATATAAATAACTAAATTTTAAATACAACATTGAATTATTAAACACTTTCACATTTTTTAACAATTACAATTTAAGTTTATTTTTATTAGCTAGTAAACTAGTAAAACTACTCATTCCGAACAATTATAGATTTAAGCAGTGTATTAGTAGTTTGTATGCTACACTCTAAGAATGGAAAACCCCCAAAAAGTGAACCGTACCGAGCCGTACCATGCAGTGGAAAAGCGCCATAATATTCCTGGAGTGGAGATCTGATCTAACAAGGTGTTTGGGGAGTTTTGATCGACTCTAGGAGTACAAGTGTGACCCGCAAGTTAGATGCAACAGAGGGTTAATGTTGATTTTGTGGATCACGTTTTAAATCGCTTCCTACTACTTTAGAGGACACCAGACCATTCAAGAAGGTTCTAATAGAATTCTGGGCAGAAGTGCGGCATTAGAAATACAGTGGTTACCTGGAACTTGGTGGTGGCTAACTCATCACCAGGAGCTCTATCTGGATGAACCTGCAGAGAGACTTTATAATATCCGCGTCTGACCTCGGAGTCAGATGCTTCTTTACAAACACCCAGAACTTCATACAGGTTCGAGGTCTTGAAGAGCTCCTCACACTGCTCCAGTAAACCCATGACTGCGTGAGGGAGAAAAAACACGGAATCATCCATTAATATATTAACTGCACAACATACAAAAGAATGTTGTTGTTGTTTTTACGTGATTTTATATGAACGCTAAACATTGAAAAATGACAATTTATCACTTCTCACTGTTATTAAAAAAAACTTGTTTAAGATTAAGCTAAAATGTTTCGAATACGAATACAGAAATGCATATGCGTGATTAAACACTCATACATCTGACTGACTTTGCAAAAATAACAAGGTTAGTTCAAAGCAATTCAACTTAATGTTTTATTAACGATCTTACCAGAGAGATGACGGTCACGTTGAAACGGTTCAAATATGCCGGACAGAAAAACAACCAAACGCTATCATCATCATCTTTTAATTTTATTGGCGGTTGGCAAACCAACTTAAAGGTGCATTTTACCGCCACCTACTGGACTGGAGTGTGGGCAGTACTTCGAAAGAAAGGACAAGGAGAGAAAATAAATAAATAAAAATTCATTACAAAAAATTAAATAAAATTTTGGCGCTTTGTGTAAACGTCACAAAATGTCATGATGTAGGACAGCTGTTAGTTAAATTTAATTTTCATAACTACAAATTTATTAACAAAAAGCCTATTTTTCAGTTGTTTTCGGAATAATTTGAAACTACATGTATATTAAATTATAAAATACATTGTACAAAAAAAAAAAAAAGTCAACAATGCACTTTTATTATGCATTGTAGGACCCGGATTATAATTGTCGCACGCTGTTGTACTTCCGTTTATTACAGCCCACTGTTTCCTAAAGTATATTTACCGTCGTTTGCATACTTTAATGAGCCCTCAATGCAGAGTTTAGTTTTTAATTAAACACAGGACAACAGTTGCAGGGACAATGTCTCGCTGCGTTGCGTTACAGACGCATCTGGCGTCCGTGGTGGAGGCGTTAGTTCACGCCGCGATCGCTGAAATGTGCAAACTTATGAAAGAGGAGACGCTGTCATTTTTGAGCGGTGATATTTCTAGAGCGCACTGTGAAAACGAGGACGTTGAGTCAAGAATGAAGATGGAAAAGGAAGAGAGAATAGTGAGAATATAAGATTGTTGCTTCGCTGCGGCCTGTAACCTTAAACATGCGACGCGTTCGCAGCCCTATAAACGCGTTTGTGCGTATAGTATAAAGATCAGCGCGCAGGTCTCAACGTATGTGAACGCAGCTGCTGTCAACATATCAAATTTAATTTGTGCTTAACTGATACTGAGTTTTTAAAAGCCAATAGAGATCATGCAATTTAATAATAATAATTTTGGAATTAAATGTAAACTTGTTTTCCTCAAGGCTGTGAAAGATTTTGAAACCGACAATAGATAGAATTAACTTGCCAATAATCTCAAAATTACCACATAGTGCAGGGGTGTCAAACTCAGTTCCTGGAGGGCTGCAGACCTGCAGAGTTTTGTTCCAACACGCATAGCATGTAGTTTTCAAATAAGACTGCAGGACTTGATTAGTTCGATCAGGTGTGTTTAATTAGAGTTGAATCTAAACTCTGCAGGGCTCCAGCCCTCCAGGAATTGAGTTTGACACCCCTGACATATAGTGCCTGATTAATCGGATGGTATATTGATCCACAACAAGTAGGCTAATTTGTAATTATTCATTATTTCAGAAGCAGTTTGCATCTGTCATGGAGGTACTGGGTAACGAGGCTCTTGGGAAAATAATCAAACTCGTTGATGAAACCAAATTTCTGTTGGATTTGGAGTGCAAAACATTTTCAGGCAAGAGGGCAAAGCGGCCTGGCAGCATCTTGAATATTCTGTCTGTTGGAGGACTTGGTAAGAAATCTTATTCAGTGGTTATAAGCATACAGTGTGTAATGTTTGATATAAGGTTTTTTTTTTTCAAATTATTGTCATGTGTATGTTTTAGAGGAGGAACATTCTTACGATGGAAGTGCGAGAAGCCTGGAAACAAGAACAAGAAATGAGGTAAACTGAACAACTTGTACATCAAAGCTATTCATATTCAAGGCTAATATATAGTGAATGTAATTTATTCCTGTGATGCAAAGCTGAATTTTCGGCAGACAGCTATTACTTGGTCTTCAGCTTCACATGAACCTTCAGAAATCATTCTAGTATGCTTCTTTGATGCTTAAAAAGCATTTACTATAATTATTATCGATATGTTTGTGGAAATTGTGATATACTACCATTTAAAAGTTTGAGCTCAGTAAAGGAAGGACACATTCAGTTGATCGAAAGTGATAGTACAGACATCAGAAATGTTGCAAAATATTTCTGTTTCAAATAAATGCTGTTCTTTTTCACTTTCTATTCATCACAGAATGTATTAATGTTTCCACAAAAATATTGAGCAGCAAAACTGTTTTCAACATTGAAAATTATAAGAACCATTATTAATATTTGAGCACACCAATAATAATTGATCATAACTGAGCACCAAATCAGAATAGCACCATAAGAATACAGCTGAAATTCAGCTTTGCCATCACAACAATAACATTTCATAATATATTAAAGAGCAGGTCATATGGGTTTTCGAAAAAGATCTCTTTTGCAGTTTGTAAGGTAGCTATCCTTCAATGGAAACGGTCTGCAAAGTTGTTAATCAAAAAAGTGCATGATAAATAAAGATATTGTCTCTCAAAAGAAAGAGTCGACTCAGAATCGCCTTAACGAGTCGTTATATTTTCAAATCTTCTGCCTGTTACCGATCTACGTCACTAGGTAACACATTAGCATAATCCCCGCCTGCCCACAAAATGGGAACACTCTCTGTGTCGAGAAGATGCTGTGTTCCACGATACCACAGCAATACAATTCGAACCTTTTGTTGTGCTCGTCATTTTACCGAGGACTGCTTCTCTAATCTTGCCTTTTATCTTCGTTGGCTTCTAATCTTCTTTATTTGGA